ATTTATAACTAATAGCTATAGATGTATAAGTCAATACAGAGATAAGAATTGAAAAGAAGCTGCTTGCTTTTGTGCCTGGGTTGTTGCTGCAAAGCAAAAAGAATGATTGGAGGGATAGGAACCAACCAGTATTGCTTAAAAAAAAAATTCTGTATTGCTTGGATATTTCATTCCTAGGGAATGGAACTAAAATGTATGTCCACCCACCAAAAAGCTAGTACATAACAGCATCATTCAAACAGCCAAAAGAAGTAGCAGGAAACTGCCTGGGTGGAGGTGGGGACACAGCATCAGTAAGTGTAACTGATCTCAAACTAGACAAAGTGGGAACCAACAGGAGGTCCAGACTTTACTTGTATGATGCTCACTTGTATACCTAATCCTAAATTGTACCCCACATCTTTAAAATAAAATATGTATTTTAGAAAAACAGCCAAAAGGCAGAAACAACTCAAATGTCCACGGATGAATGGATAAAAAAAATGAGGTCTGTCCATACAGTGGAATATTATGCAACCATAGAAAGGAATGAGACCTGGAACAGTGGCTCATGCCTGTAATCCCAACACTTTGGGAGGCTGAGTGGGAGAATTGCTTGGGCCCAAGAGTTCAAGACCAGTCTGGGCAACATAGTGAGACCTCATCTCTACAGAAAAATCCAAAAAGTAGCTGAGTGTGTTGGCGCATGCCTGTAGTCCCAGTTACTTGGAAAGCTGAGGCAGGGGGATTGCCTGAGCCCAGGAGGTCAAGGCTACAGTGAGCTGTGATGATGCACTACAGCCTGGGCAACAGAATGAGATCCTGACTCAGAAAAAACAAAAAGTTCTAAAATGGACTGTGGTGATGGTTGCATCACTGAATATACTAAAATCCATTGAATTGGACACTTTGAATGGGTACATTATATGGTATATAAATTATATCTCATTTAAGCTGTTGATAGCAAACCAGGTTCTTGATTGTAGCAAGTCAATCATCGTGATGACGGGGTTTGCAAAAGAGAGAGTTTGATCACGAGGCCACCAAGTGAGGAGGCAAGAGAGTGGATCTCAAATATGCCACCCTGAAAACGGGGCTTGGGAGGGAGGCTATGGGATAGAAAGTGGGGTGTTCTAAAGTGTGGAGAAAGGTGATTGGCAGGTAAGAAAACTGAGATGATCAAGGTTTCCATCCAAGCTTACATGAGTTCATGGTTCCTCATAGGACTTATGTGCAGAAACGGCAGCATTGGTGTGATCTGAGGGTAGAGTTCAGGGCCCTCTGATGTCAAAAACTCATTTGGGCACTCATGCAGGCCCACTTGAAGAATCAATGGTCTCAGTAGGCTTGAAGTGGACAAGAGCTGTCCCTCTAGTTTCTGAAAAAACAACTTTACTGCAAGAACCACAGTCAGAGATGTTATCTATAAGGAAGCCAGTGAGAGTTTAGTTATGTCTCGTTGGGCTATATGGCTTGCTAGTGGGAGTTTTAAGATCAACAAGAAGCAAGAGATTAAAAACAAACAAAAGGCTGGGTGTGGTGGCTCATGCCTGTATCCCCAGTGTTTTTGGGAGACTGAGGTGGGAGGATTTCTTGAAGCCAGGAATCTGACTGGTCTAGGCAACCTAGTGAGACCCCATCTCCACAAAAAATTTAAAAATGAGCTGGGCATGGTGGCATGTGTCCATAGTTCCAACTACTCAGGAGGCTGGGAAGGGAAGAATGCTTGAGCCCAGGAGTAGGAGGCTGCAATGAGCTATGATCATGCCACTGCACTCCAGTCTGGATGAGACAATAAGACCCCATCTCTACAAAAATTAAAATTTAAAAATTTTTGAAAAGCAAGTAAAGTAGGTTAAGTTTGGCAGGCTTATTTAGGTTTATCTTTGGTTTCACTGCTAACATAAATAAAATAATTAAAAAGGAATAGAGGAGGAATGTTATAAGGGAGAGAACAGAGGGGCTGAGACAGCCCCAAAGCACCAACTGAGGCAGGTGGACCAGACCCCCCTGGGTTTGAATGCTAACAGTGCCAATTACTGGTCTTGGGCAATCATTCTACCTCCATGAGCCTCAATTTCCCTGTGTGCAAAATGCAAGCAACAATCCTCTGAGCTCTTAAGGACTACATGAAATAATAAGCAAGTTAAGTTGGTACTATCTGCACAATGGAAGGTGAAATGGATGGACAGGAGTAATGATGAATTGGAATAACCAGATGATCTGGATCGGGGTAGGGGTGGGTGACCTTGTGGTTGGACTGGCACAAAAACTCTGGCTAATTTGGATGCTGTGCCTCAGCCACTTTCGCCAGGAGGTGTCAGCTGAGCCTTGCCATCACTCATTTCATCAGCATTGGCTCCGTTTCCACACCCAGGCTGTGCCAAGGGTGTGTCTCTCTTGTCCTGACGTTTCTTGAGTGACAGAAAACTCACTGGCAATAAAGAGCCAGAGAGATGTGCTGCCCGATTCATAGGCAGGCCTCTTGGGAGAAACCTGAGATTCTACGCTGGCAACCCCTTCCTCGGAGATCAGCACGTGGGCTGACTCCTCCTCCTCCCAGCCCTCTGCTAGTAACTAAGGAGAGTGGTGAGGTTGGCTCTCACCTTAAAGAACAGCAGCTTCCACATTCGGTAAGAGATATTAGTTCTTCTGTCTCTTTTCCCTCTCCCCTCTCTCCTCTCCCTTCTCCGCTTCTCTTCTCTTCTTTCTCTCTCTCTCTCTCTCTCTCTCTTACTCTCTCACCCTTGCTCACTCTCTCTCTTACAAATCTCCCCTCCGTTCTTGAATAGGTGCATGGAAGCTCTGGCCACTTTTGGCAGAACTGAAGGAATTTCCATTCATCCACTTGTCTATCCATCCATCCCTTCTTTCATCTATTTGCTTATTATTTATTTATTTAACAAGTTCTCCCAACACCACCTCTGTGCCCATTTCTATACTGTTGGTCCTGATGGAGACGGAGATAAGGAAGTCAGGCTTCCAGTCCTGAAAACAGAGCAGCCAGTTCAGCCATGAGACTAAGAAGCAAAAACACTACTGTAACTCACACATAAACAAGCAGGGCTGTGGGAGTTGGTAGAAGGGAGAGGCAACCTCCGGGAGGTTAACAAAACCTGCCTCACTGTGCCATTGCTATTAAGCACCTAGCACTCTCCCCAGATCCTTTTCAGATGGGAAAATCAAGTCTCAGAGAGAGCAGTGAGATGTTCCAGGTTGCACAGCTGGGAAGGAACTTTAGCAGGACTTGATTCTGGTTTATCTAACTCCAGAGCCATGCTCCTTCTACTTTCTCCTTCAAACCTTTTGTTTCTCTTTCCTCCCAGCACTTACCCTGTGTGTATGTGTGCGTGACCGTGTGTGTGTGTGTGTGTGTGTGTGTGTGTGTGTGTGTGTGTGTGTGTGTGAGAGAGAGAGAGAGAGAGAGAGAAAGATATTTGATTTAATATGTATTTCTGTTCATAGACTAGAGCTACATAAGGGCAGGGAAAGTGACTGTCTCATATAGTATATTCCCAATTCATAACCCACACAGTAGATACCCAGAAAATATTTGCTGGCTAAATGGATGGATGAATGGTCAAAGCATAAGTGGTTGGATAGATGATGTGTGGATGGGTTGAGGGATGGATGAATGGATAAATGGGCAGATGAGTAGGGGTAGATAAGTGAAAGAGTGGTCAGATAGATAAGTGGGTGGATGGATGGATGGATGGATGGATGGATGGATGGATGGATGGATAGAAGGATGGATGGATGGATGGATGGGTGGATGGGTGGATGGATGGATGGGTGGATAGAAGGATGGATGGCTGGATGGATGGATGGATGGGTGGATGGATGGATGGGTGGATGGATGGATGGATGGATGGATGGATGGATAGAAGGATGGATGGATGGATGGATGAGTACATGGGTGGGTGAACAAATGAATTGGTAGTTGTGTAAATAAGTGAAAGGAAGGAAGGAAGATGGCAGATGGATGATGGATGAATGGCTGGGTGAGTTGGTGGAAGGATGGAAGGATGATGGGGGACCACACAGTAGACATTATGCCACCCAAATTGCCAAGGAAGGATCTTGATTCATAAAGAAGCATTCCAGGCTGGGCTCGGTGGCTCAGCCTATCATCCCACGCCTTTGGGAGGGTGAGGTGAGTGGATTGCCTGAGCCCGCGGGTTCGAGACCCGCCTGG